TGGTTGCTGACAGATGAGCAGACATTAGGCAGAGTAGGGGCAGAAAGCTTCCAAGCCTGGGACATCACCTGCCTCCAGCCCAAAGGCAGGATATTGCTGAGTGAATTTGGGGGAACAGCAAGGAAGCGAGTGTGCCTGAAAGTGAGAATGGGGAAGGGGCCCAAGCGGGCAGGGGAAGGGAAACGAGGGGAAGCTGTGTTGGATTATATTCTGAGTGGAGTACAGTGGGGAACTGCAGAAGGTTTTAAGCAGAGGCATGACCATATTTGCTTTAACAGGACACTGTCCGTCCATTCAGCAAGAGCCTCTGCTTGCCACTAGAGGCACAGTGGGGAGCCCAAATGCATCACCTCTTCCAGCGGAAGAAGGGTGGGAGGAGGGGTAGGAAGGGTCAGACAGGCCTGGGCCAAGAAGGTCACAGTGGGGATGGGACCGGTAGTGGATTCAAGAGTTGCAGAAACAGACACCAGGTGGGGATGGATGGGGCACGGCAGGGGAGGAGGGCCTATCAAGAACGGCTTCTAGCTTTCTCAGCAGACAAGACTGGGTGAACCACACGTTTGGGTCCCTCGATCTTTTCTATTCTTCCCTGCAAACTTACTCCTCCTCTATATGCTGCTTTCTATTCCAGGACTGTCTCCAGAAGTGAAAACATGATTTCATAGACTCCAAGATAACACGGGGGACAGAGATTAAAAATACACATCGGATCAGGATCAGTTTAAATACTTCCTTGCTTTTGGTAATGAGCGCTTTCGTAGTTCAAATACTAAGATTATAGGTGAACATTGTCCAGAGCCATTTAACCCTACTAGAATTCTCTCTGTGAGGGATATTTTTTTTTAAATGTAGAGTTTTGTTTTTAATTCCAGTTTCACCTCAGGACACTTCAGTTTGACTTTTCATCCAACAAGGATAAAAGTACTATGAGCTAAAACCAAAAGCCAAACTGTTCTTTTTGGAAAATCTTCAAATACGTATTTTAAATGATCTACTGGATATTAAGATACTAATCTATGGATTCTGAAATTCAAAATAAATAGTAAACCTATACTCTTAGACCAAGGAAGTTAGTTCCCTGACTTGACCCTTGCTCAAATTTTTCCCTCCTTCTGCATGTCATATTGGATACAGTACTTTTCAGATTCAGGTTTATAAAAAAAGAAAAAGGCTACAAAGTCTTGGTAATGTAACCTAAGCATGTTCAAATTCCTATATTTTGTGATTAAAATATGATTTAATGAATTTTACTTTAAAAGCTCTCCTAGTGTGGTACATCTTAAGTGAGAATGATTTTATATATACAGTGTGTGCATATATATATTACATTATATACAATAAACTATATATTATATATACTACATATATTACGGCAAATATATATGCATATAGCAGCCAACAAAAATGTAACTGTTGCTTAATTATGTGCAAAGACCTTGAAAGCTAGACAAACTATCATGGTGACATTCCTGCTTCTTGTAGAGGTCATTCCTTGACACCTCCTGTTTACAAAAGACAAGGGGGACTTTTTTCAAGGCTACTCCTCCATGCCTGCTGTTTACGAGAGACCAAGAGTTTTCTTGCAGTTCTTAAGGATTTAGGCTTAGTTTAGTCTGAAAAGTGAGGATAAGAATTCATCTGCAAGCTTAACACAAATAGCACAACTTAAACAAGGGGTCCCTGGGTGGCTCAGTCAGTTAAGTGTCTGACTCTTGGTTTCAGCGCAAGTCATGATCTCAGGGTTGTGGGATCGAGCCCTGAATCAGGCTCCAAGCTGGGCATGGAGTCTTCTTAAGATTCTCTCTCTCCCGCTGCCCTGCCCGCCTCCCATGCTCACACTCTCTCTCCCCATCTCTTAAAAAAAAAGTCTACCCTAAGTGTAAAAAATCCTTAGGAGTTTGAAAAAAGGGCTCACATTAATTCATGCTAAGACATTTTCATGTCAGCAGTAACTTTCATCCAATAGGTAAATTTCTAAGCTTTAAATCTAAGTAATAGGGCAGCCTGGGTGGCTCAGTGGTTTAGCGCCGCCTTTAGGCCAGGGCGTGATCCTGGGGTCCTGGGATCGAGTCCCACATCAGGCTCCCTGCATGGAGCCTGCTTCTCCCTCTGCCTCTCTCTCTGTGTCTCTCATGGATAAATAAATAAAATCTTAAAAAAAAAAATCTAAGTAATAAAATTCTAATGAGTATTAATATGGTAGTTATCATTTCTGTAGGACAGACTATGTCCCTTTTACAACTATTGTTTTGTGTAAAAAAGTTTGTGTGCTAAGATGTTAGACACAACAATTTTTAAGTGAGCTCTACACCCAACATAGGGCTGGTTCCGTGAACCCCGAGATCAGTTGTTTACTGACTGAGCCAGCCAACTGCCTCAGATCCTCAATTCTAGTCAAAAATTTGCTATTATATCAAGCAGATCATATATAAATAGAAATCCAGCTTAAAGTATCAAAAGACTGGTGATCGAAAGCCCATCTGGTAGAGGCAGTGAAGTGGGATCAGCCGGCCCCGTGCATCAGTTCTGGCTTTGCCAATTACCGTGTGACCTTGGGCAACAGGCTTCATCTGTTCGGGCCTCAATGTTTTCATCCGTAAAATAGGCATATTAGCTACCTCATAGAAATGTCATGAAAATTAAGTAAAATAAGACTGTGCTTCAGACAGATTGTAGGTACATCCCAGACTCTGCTTTCCCTCATTCCAGATGCCAGTACTCATGGGCTGAATCATGCCCCCACCAAATTCGTGTTGATGTCCTGACCCTCAGCACCTCAGAATGTGACTCAGTTTGGAGATAGGACCTTTAAGGAGGTAACTAAGTGAAAATGTGGTCATTAGGATTAGGGTAGACCCTAATCCAGTATTGACTGCTGTCCTTGTAAGATTAGGACAAAACACACAAAGGAAAGACCATGTGAAGACACAGGAAGGAAAAGAAGAAACCAACCCTCCCAACAACTTGACCTTTTAGCCTCCAGGATTGAGAAAATGTATTTCTGTTGCTTAAACCACCCACTCATATCTGTTGTGGCAGCCCTAGCAAGCAAATATGCCAGTCATGGAGGTGACTGGAGTCCCCTAATTGCAGGGAGCTGGAGAAATCCTACTTGGTGCACCACAACACAGAAGACAGTTGAGGAGCACTAAGACACAGACCTAATGTGCTTGGCTTCACCCCTGGCCTATGGTTAAAGACTCAATATGGCAGACATTATTATCCAATTTATGAAAACCTAGATGTAAGCATCAGTGATGAGAATATCATTATATTCTTCAGCATTTCAACCAGTTGCTCACAACTCTCAGAATACGGGAACCAACTGCAGAAAATAGAGTAGAGGTGGAGTTTCAAGAAGCAGATACAGGGCCACCTGACTGGCTCAGTGGGTAGAGCATGTGACTCTAGCTCACCATCAGGAGTTCAAGCCCCGTATTGGGCATGGTGCCTAAGTACAAGCACAAGGAATAAGTAACTTATTCCGATGGCAGGAGCTTTTTCTAAGGCTAGCCTTCTACTGAGAGAAAACCAAAGATTCACTTTTGAAAGTGGTAAGGTGCATGTCAGTAACCCAAAGCAAAATATTCTATTTCCTGTGAAGTACACTTTGTATTTCTGCACTTATTAAAACAATTTAAAAAAAAATTAAGAACTGTACAAGTTTAGCACAAAATAGCTTGTGAAACACTGAGCCAGCAATTTCTCAAACACACAATAGAAACATTTTTATGTACATGACATTTCCTTTGGGTACGGGGGCACTGAACTTTAGGATGTGGGATTTCAGAGGGCACAATGTGTATCTGGGACACAAAAGAGAGGCTAGATTTATAAAGCTCTCGTTTTCTCCTTTTCCTCTGATGGCTGGTCAAACCAAATAGAATTTATCCAGAAGATATTTTTATGGCTGAGACTGGCTCTCAAGTTAGAAACAGGTAGGCCTGTGTCATACAAACCAGAAGCCACTTGCAACACATGTGGCTACTGAGGACTCACAGTGTGGCTGGTGTGATCAAGGAACTGGTGGTGGGTTGTTTTTTGTTTTTTTCGGTTTCTTTTCTTTTTCTTGTAATCTCTTCGCCCAACGTGGGGCTTGAACCCTGAGATCAATAGTCGCATGCTCTTCTGACTGAACTGGTCAGGTGCCCAGGTTTCAATTTTAAAGAAGTTTAAACCAATAATCATTTCAGTTATTGAAAAGAAATTCTGTCTGCAACTGTATGTGAAGCTAGGTTTTCAACTGTAAATTGTCTGAACTATATAAATACAGGGCAGGTGTGTCCAAAGAACATTAGCATCCAAAATGAACGTGTATTAAGTGGAAAATACACACCAGATTTTGAAGACTTAATGTGAAAAAATATATATATAAAATATCTTATTAGGGGATCCCTGGGTGGCTCAGAGGTTTAGTGCCTGCCTTCGGCTCAGGGTGTGATCCTGGAGACCCGGGATCGAGAACCACGTCAGGCTTCCTGCGTGGAGCCTGCTTCTCCCTCTGCCTGTGTCTCTGCCTCTCTCTCTCTCTCTGTGTCTCTCATGAATAAATAAATAAAATCTTAAATAAAATAAAATATCTTATTAATACCCTTTAATATTGATTACATGTTGAAATGGTATTTGGCATAAGTTGAATTAAATACTTTTATTCAAATTAATTTCACCTTTTCATTTTTAATGTGGCCACCAGGAAATTCTGAAGCAAGAAAGTAACTGATGTACAGATCTTGCTAATTTTAGGATCACCCTACTCTCCACCAACATGGTGGTAACTCAGATGTACTAGTGCCCATCCTCTCTGCTCTAAAACCTTCTATCAGTTTACTCGAGAGAAAGCAATTAGAAGCATTTAATAAAGTGCACTGGGCCTGAAAACCTAACCCACATGTAATTTCAACTTTTGAAAATTATTTAAAATCCTACAGTTATAGACTGGCTACTAAGGCTCTGAGGTTCAAATTATTTTTGAGACTTGGCAAAGATTGTACTTTTTAAAATGAGGTGTCCATTTGTCAGATTTAACATACTTTGCAGTAAAAATAGATTATAAGGTCCCAACTCCAGAAAGTTATCAGACATAATACACAGATCACTTTCAGGATTAATTAGAATTCAGTAGAGTATATTTGACACTTAAATTACACGGAATAAAATTTTATATTCCAGGGTAACTGAGATAGTTTAACTTCATGAGGAAGAACAAGTATCACTGCTGACAAAAATTCAGAATTTATGGGTTGAATGTCTCTTGATCCAATTTCACACTTTAATTAGACTTTTAAATTTTCAGTAACCTGCTTTTAAAAAATATGTAAATCCAAAAAAATATGTAAATCCATGTTTCTCAGAAGAGTTCAGAATTTTTAAAATAACCTTGTACTTTTTTGACTTTCTTGTGATATTCATTTTGAGTTAAAACAGACTTTCAGTTTATGTCTTTGAATCTAACTCAAGCATGACACAAGCAGCCCACTGTACCAGAGAGATTAAATGCTGACAGTTACTCTTAGGGGATTAGCAGATAATAAAAAGGACAGATTCTCCAAGATCGTCATCTGTCATACTCAGCCCTGACTTATCTGTAGAAGCAATCGTGCTGCCGAACAGAAAAAAAGAAGTAGAACAAACCATTCTACCCAATTCAACCAACGTACGACTTCCTTTGTTCTAAAAAAATATAAATAGCAAAGTCTGCAAGACCAGAGCCTGCAGCCTCGAGCATTGGAGACTTCGAGAACTCTAATTCAATGCCTCCAAACAAAAAGGACCCAAGACTTTAAGGGACGTAGTAGAGGAAAATGAAAACCATTCATCAATACTGAATGCTAAACCCAATCAGGACGCCCTACACGACACGAATCACACACCTTGTCGCCCAGGTGGAAAGCACAGAACCGTGAGCTAGCTGGGGAGTGGAAGGCTCTGGGTGTGAGCGTCACAGAAAGCCTGCCTTCCAGCGCACGGTCAGAGGCAGCCGGCGGGGAAGGGCCCCACAGGTGACACGTGCGCACAGGTCAGCTCTGCTCCTGGCTCAGCGGTGTGGGTGGCGGCGCAGCAGGCTCTGGTGTCAGCTGCAGGTGCTGAGCCGGGTCTGAAGCGCTCGCTAAGCCGAGCTCCCCTGTTGGCTCTTGATGGGCGTGAAGATGTTCCAGGGTTTCCTTGGACAGTGTGATGACGTGCACGGGCTCACTCTGCGAGGGTTCCATCGGGCTTTCAATCATGTTGAGGCCCTGCATGTGCTCTGATTGCTCCTGTTGGGCCGAAAGGATTAAATTCTGCAGGTGTTCCGGCTGCTGCGCGAGCAGGGTGAGATTCGCAGCCTGGTCCGGGGTCATGTTCTGAGAGCTCTCTGCAGTGACGATGCTGATTCCCTGGCTAGCGCCGGGCATGAAGTTGAGGTTATGCACAGAGTTGGTCACCAGAAGCTGAATTTCCTGCTCTCCAGATGCAGAGAGCTGATATGGTTGCAGCTGAAGAATATTCCTGACCTCTTCGGTATTATTACTGCCAGAAACACTGCTGGCATCTGAGGCCGGTTTTTCTTTGCTGTGGATTTTCAGGTGAGCCTTCAAGTTGTCTAAGCGAGCAAACTGTAAGTTACACTCAGGGCACGAGAAAGGCTTTTTGCCCGTATGCAGGATGCAGTGTCTCCTCTTGGCACTGGAGTCAGAGAAGGATTTGCCACATATGCCACAGGAGTATGGCTTTTCTCCTCTAAAAAGAATACACGTTTTATCTTAAAAACAGATCTGTTTATCACTTTCTGATTATTTAGGGAGCAGAAGTCAAGAAGAGAGGAAAATTAACTCGACTAGGAGTCCTAAGTCATGGGTTCTTCTACTAACTTAAGGAGTCAGAGCAAGTCACAACTTTCAGGGGTTTCTGTTTCTAATTCTCAAAGAAAAAGAAAAGGGTGGACGTGGTGGCTGAGAAAGGGTGGTGGGTGGGGCTGGGCTACAAGTGATAACATTTTATGATTCCATAGTCTGTATTTCACATAGGAAAGCAAATATTTATATATTACACATACAGCCCCTTTTTGTGTTCATTTTCACTGCCAGATTCTTGTGGCCAAATAAGTATATGGGTTAAGCGACCGACTCTTGATTTTGGCTCAGGTCACAATCTCAGGGTCATGGGATCAAGCCCTTAGTTGGTCTCCGTGCTGAGCACGGAGCTACTCAAGAGTCTCTTCCCCACGGGACGCCTGGGTGGCTCAGTGGTTGAGCGTCTGTCTTCAGCTCAGAGTGTGGCCCCGGGGTCCTGGGATCGAGTCCCACATCCATCAGGCTCCCTGCAGGGAGCCTGCTTCTGCCTTTCCCTGTGTCTCTGCCTCTTTCTCTGTGTCTGTCATGAATAATAAATAAATAAAATAAAATAAAAAAAAGTCTCTCCTCCCTGCTCTTCCCCACTCCCCAACCCTCTATCTCCCACTCTCTCCCTAAAAACGAAAAAACAAAACATCCAAGTTGAGTAACCCTTAATTACTTGTTTTAGAATCAGATCTGCAAGTCGTATGAGTGAAAACATTTACTCAGAAAACATCAAATTCAGTAACTATTTTTGACTGAAGATTTAACCTTTGGATCAGCCCCCAGCCCAAAATAAAAATTCAAGTAACGAAACTTTTGCTAGCCAGAACCAGTTTTCCTGACTTTGTCTAAGTGAGGAATTGCTTTATTGAAAAGATAAAATAGTAAACTACACAGAAAGTTCAACCCATGCAGTAGTTTGGGGAAAAGGGCTAGATAAGCAACATATGTCACCCAACCCAACACCAGGGTGGCTCGAGGACTCCCACATAAGAAAAGTATCTGTAAACTTTACCTATGGATTCTGATGTGGGTCTGAAGGGAACTCTTTGCTGTGAAAGATTTGCCACAGATTTCACAGGTAAATGGCTTCTCACCTAAAAAAGGGACAGTGTTTAGAAATACACATCCAACATAAAGCAAGCAACAGTAATCAGGGGCGCCTGGGGGGCTCAGATCGTGATCCCAGGGTCCCGGGATCGAGTCCCGCATCGGGCTCCCTGCATGGAGCCTGCTTCTCCCTCTGCCTGGGTCTCTGCCTCTCTCTCTGTCTCTCTCATGAATAAATAAATAAAATCTTTAAAAAAAAATGAAATAAAGCTTCTGGGTGACTGAGGCCTGCAGCCCAGCTGCGAAGGCCCGTGTGACACAGGCCCCGGACGCCTCTGCTGTGCACCTGCCCGAAGCCTTCCGGCGCCCACCGCCCTGGTGCAGCCTCAGTCACAAGTGCCTCCTGGCATCTCTCTGGCAGGTCAGAAACTCTTGTGCCTCAGGGCTTTGCATCTGCCCTTCCCTCTGCCTGGGATGCTCTTCTCCCCGATGGCTGTCTCACTCCCAGAACATCCAGATCTCCATCCAAGGTGTCCCCTCAGCAGTGAGGCCTTCCCAGACAAGTCCCCACATAAAAGGGCAGCTCCCCTTCCCACAGCCTGCCCTTAGCCTGCGTTTAGCTCCTCACAGCACTGACCCCCACCTAACGTGCCAGGCAGCCAAGTGTTCTCTGCCCTCCCTGGTCAGACAGCAGCCCTCAGCAGCAGGGGCTCTGGCCACCCCACTCGCCGCTGTGTCCTCGGGACCCAGGAGCAGTGCCGTGAATGGGTGTTCAACGGCTGAGTTAACTTTCACAAAACCTGTTCATGCAGAAAGATTGTACAGAGATCCATGTTCATAGAACTCCTACCCTATGAGCCAGTGATTTTAAGAAAACAAATTACTTTTAAGGAGAAAAATTTGTGCTTAAAAAAAAAATGTTCAAAGCGGTATAAACCAATCTGACGGATAATTTTCGTAGACAATTTAACAGAATCATTAAAGAACCAACCTACAGTAGGAAGCTTTTCTTAGCAAATCTAACAGGTTTATTTTTAAGAAGTGCTCCTTACCATAAGGTCTAAAAGACCCAAACTTTTAACTTCAACTGAGAGTGTGACCTGCCCTGATCGATCCTGCCTCCTCTTTATCCCCAAAGCTGATTTCTCTGGAGGTGGCGATACATAAGCTTATACCTACTGGTTCTAGGGAAGAAAGTGAGAAAACCCTCAGTGCCTGGGCTACCTTCGTGTTTGTTTCACTGTTTCCTTTTCTAAAAAGATTCTCTCATTAAAAGTGAAACAGAACCAGACTCAGACTGGTTCCTTTTCTGTTCTTTTTTTTAATTTTTATTTTTTTATTTATTTTTAAAAATACTTTATTTATTTATTCATGAGAGAACACACAGAGAGAGAAGCAGGCTCCATGCAGGAAGCCGGACATGGGACTCGATCCTGGGTCTCTAGGATGATGCCCTAGGCTGAAGGTGGCGCTAAACCACTGAGCCACCTGGGCTGCCCCCTTCTTTTTTTTTCTTTTTCTTTTCTTTTCCCTTCCTCCCTTCCTTCCATCTATTTGGAGTTCAATTGCCAACATATAGCATAACACCCAGTGCTCATCCCGTCAAGTGCTCCCTCAGTGCCCGTCACCCAGTCACCCCAACCCCCGCCCACCTCCCCTTCCACTACCCCTTGCTCATTTCCCAGAGTTAGGAGTCTCTCATGTTCTGTCACCCTTTCTGATATTTCCCACTCATTTTTTCTCCTTTCCCCTTTATTCTCTTTCACTATTTTTTATATTCCCCAAATGAATGAGACCATATAATGTTTGTCCTTCTCCGATTGACTTATTTCATTCACTCAGCATAATACCCTTCAGTTCCATCCACGTTGAAGCAAATGGTGGGTATTTGTCGTTTCTAATGGCTGAGGAATATTCCAGTGTATACATAGACCACATCTTCTTTATCCATTCATCTTTCAATGGACACCGAGGCTCCTTCCACAGTGTGGCTATTGTGGACATGGCTGCTAGAAACATTGGGGTGCACGTGTCCCGGTGTTTTACTGCATCTGTATCTTTGGGGTAAATCCCCAGCAGTGCAATTGCTGGGTCATAGGGCAGATCTATTTTTAACTCTTTGAGGAACCTCCACACAGTTTTCCAGAGTGGCTGCACCAGTTCACATTCCCACCAACAGTGCAAGAGGGTTCCCCTTTCTCCACATCCTCTCCAACATTTGTGGCTTCCTGCCTTGTTAATGTTCCCCATTCTCACTGGGGTGAGGTGGTATCTCATTGTGGTTTTGACTTATATTTCCCTGATGGCAAGTGATGCAGAGCATTTTCTCATGTGCATGTTGGCCATGTCTATGTCTTCCTCTGTGAGATTTCTCTTCATGTCTTTTGCCCACTTCATGATTGGATTGTTTCTTTGCTGTTTGAGTTTAATAAGTTCTTTATAGATCTTGGATACTAGTCCTTTACCTGATAGCTCATTTACGAATATCTTCTCCCATTCTGTAGGTTGCCTTTTAGTTTTTTTGACTATTTCTTTTGCTGTGCAGAAGCTTTTTATCTTGATGAAGTCCCAATTATTCATTTTTGCTTTTGCTTCCTTTGCCTTTATGAATGTATCTTGCAAGAAGTTGCTGTGGCCAAGTTAAAAAAGGGTGTTGCCTGTGTTCTCTAGGATTCTAGTCTCATATTTAGATCTTCCATCCATTTTGAGTTTATCTTTGTGTATGGTATAAGAGAGTGGTCTAGTTTCATTCTTCTGCACGTGGATGTCCAATTTTCCCAGGACCATTTATTGAAGAGACTTTTTTTCCAGTGGATAGTTTTTCCTGCTTTGTCAAGTATTAGTTGACCATAAAGTTGAGGGGCCACTTCTGGATTCTCTATCCTGTTCCATGGATCTATGTGTCTGTTTTTGTGCCAGTACCACACTGTCTTGATGACCACAGCTTTGTAGTACAACCTGAAATCTGGCATTGTGATGCCCCCGGCTATGGTTTTCTTTTTTAAAATTCCCCTGGCTATTCGGGGTCTTTTCTGATTCCACACAAATCTTAAGATGATTTGTTCCAACTCTCTGAAGAAAGTCCATGGTATTTTGATAGGGATTGCATTAAACATGTAAATTGCCCTGGGTAGCATTGACACTTTCACATTATTAATTCTTCCAATCCATGAGCATGGAATATTTTTCCATCTCTTTGTGTCTTCCTCAATTTCTTTCAGAAGTTCTGTAGTTTTTAGGGTATAGATCCTTTACTTCTTTGGTTAGGTTTATTCCTAGGTATCTTATGCTTTTGGGTGCAACTGAAAATGGGATTGACTCCTTAATTTCTCTTTATTCAGGCTCACTGTTAGTGTATAGAAATGCCACTGACTTCTGGGCATTGATTTTGTATCCTGCCACATTGCCGAACTGCTGTATGAGTTCTAGCAATCTTGGGGTGGAGGCTTTTGGGTTTTCTATGTACAGTATCAAGTCATCTGTGAGGAGGGAGAGTTTGACTTCTTCTTTGCCAATCTGAATGCCTTCTATTTCTTTTTGCTGTCTGATTGCTGAAGCTAGGACTTCTAGTACTATGTGGAATAGCAGTGCTGAGAGTGGACATCCCTGTCGTGTTCCCGATCTCAGGGGAAAGGCTCCCAGTTGTTTCCCCACTGAGAATAATATTTGCTGTGGGCTTTTCGTAGATGGCTTTTAAGATGCTGAGGAATGTTCCCTCTATCCCTACCCTCTCCTTTTTTTTTAAGTAGCCTCTACCGCCAGCATGGGGCCCAACATGGGGCTTGAACTCCCGACCCGGAGATCAAGACCTGAGCTGAGATCAAGAGTTGGATGCTTAACCAACTGAGCCTGTATGAATTTCCATACAGGAATAGTGCTCAGTTAAGTCATCTCTGTGTTACTAAGAAATAGAGATGGGATCTCTCCACAGAACACTGTTGACAGCCTTCCGCCTTGGGCTTTTACATGGTCTTCTAAAATTCCCACCCAATTTATAATAAATGGAGCCCAAGGAGGGGACTCTTTCTCACTCTTCTGAAAACATGCAGCGTACCAGAAAGGAAGGACGGGATGTGAGTTTTACCTGTGTGTGTTCGCAGATGTTTCTTTAGCTGAGACACATCCATGAATTTGCGATGGCAGTGGTTGCATTCCGGTAATGAGTGGCCTTGTCGCAACAATAAAAAAAGTGTCAGTGCATATACGCGCTCTCTCCCTGCACTTCTTCAGTGATTTGTGTTAAAGCACCTCCCTGAAAAATAATCACTTTAAATATGGTACTTTAATAAAACAACAATATTTTTTATTAATTTGGTAACAGTATTTTCCTATGCATCTCAACTCCCTGTTTCCCGAGGAGAGCTGGGACCCTGCCCATGTCCCTAAAAGTACTCTTCTTTCCCTGAAGCATGGGTGTGACTGTAGCCAACTGATGTCAAATGTTACTTCCAACCCCTCATTCAGTTCTTACTAGTTGGCGGGAGAGAAAAAAAAGGACCGTGGATACAGTTGGGTGGGAGAAAGCCTGGACTGACAATTGTGGGGTGGGGAATATTTCTGTCTAAGCACCATTAATAACCAACCAACTGGCGCCCTCTTATTCAAGTGGCACTTTTGAAACATGTCAATTCTATAGGGTTTCTGTGACACCAAACTGTACTATTAAAAAATTAAATATAAATCACCAGGTAAGAGAATAACACAAGGATATCTAAGGATATTTTAAGATTCTTTCCCTAAATACAAATTATCTTCCACAAATATGAACCTATTGTTTCAAAATAATTTGTATTTGTGAATTGCTCCCCCAAATCCAAATTTTCTCTCACTTTATTGTACCTGTATGGACTCGGTAATGGCTCTTCAGTTGTCTTTTCTGGCTAAAATATTTTCCACACTGATCACAGGTGAAAGACTTCTGTCCTGCCAAATAAAAAACAGGACACTAAAAAAACATGCCAAAACTATAAAGAACAGTAACACAGTGGACCCCGGTCCCCATTTTCTGTGAATGATACAAGTGACTTGCCTACATATCCAAATGCCCTCAGAGTCAAAGCACAGGTCCATAAATGTACAAAGGTACGTAAAGCAATAGGGAGCGGTGGGGACTGGGGCAGAACTGGAAAATACAAGTTTCCCCCAAAGTCACCCAAGTAAAATCATTCTAAACTCTGGGGGTTGAACAAAACATGTTTGCACACTGAGCTCCCGCCCAGCAGCCGATTTATAAGCCCTAGCGTAAGACACAATGCTGTGCACAAGTCTAAACCTTAGTCTGGCAGAGGCGTAATTCTGTCCCCTTCAGTGACACTACGTGGGAAACGCCCACCCCAGGAACCTGGTGGCAGCTGGCCCTCTGCTGCAAGCCCAGCTACCTGAATGCAGGCTCATGTGCTCCAGCAGCGAGTGCTTGGTAGTGAGAGCCTTGCTGCACACGGTGCAGGTGTAGGGCCGCTCGCCTGTGTGCATCCGGGTGTGGACCTGCAGGGAGTGCTTCTGGGCAAAGCCTTTTCCACACTCATTACATTTGAAAGGTCGCTCCCCTGGAATAAGAGGCCCAGAAGCACAGTGTAAGCAAGAACATGCACATCTCTGTTTCCTCCTAGATTAAAATGACAATAAAAGGGATTTCTGCTAACAGGCACCTATCCAAAAGGGCCAGAACAGGAGAGAAAACATCAGCACTCTGGCAAGCTGGAACAGATGCATCCGATGCCAGCAGGGCGGAGTGCTGTGATACATACAACCCAAGGCAGAGCCTCCACAAGGCTCAGGAACTAGTGGCACCTGTTATCTCTGAAAACGGAGTAAGGGAGGATAAATGACCATCTGTTTCAAAGGCCCTGAGACCCCCCTGACTGGACCCAAGGAGCCAGAGGACTGGCCTGCTCTCCAACAAAGGATGGGCACTGTTCTCTGAAGAAGGTAAAACAGTCCCTGGACTGAGGGTCTTCGGATTAGAGGTCTCCAGGCACAGTGGAGGGGGACTGCTCCAGGGACAGCAAGGCCAAGTTTACATTTAGGGTGAGGAGACTGCCCAGCCTCCTCCCCCGCTCCCACTCTAGAGACTGGCAGCCAGGCCTACAGCCTCCAGGCGGGACGGTGGAACATCTTCGGGAACGTGGCAGGCCAGGGTAAGAGGGCTGCAGGTGCAAGGCCAGGCGTCGGGGAGGAAGTGGGCCCCCCCTCCAGTGAGGCCGCTGTGTACAGGCCCGCTCCACCCCACCGCAGTGGCCAGCAGCTTTCACTCAACCATTCCAACAATGGGATTAAATATGGTTTTTCACACACCACTGTTCAAGGAAGGCCTTTTAGTAGCTGAAACAGATACCAAAACAGATAAGGGAAAAAAAAGCAACTTGCGGAAAACAGAGGCTGCCCATGGGGGGAAGAAAACATTAAAAACTAAGGAACAAACAAGTCACTGCTGCTATTAACGAGCTCGGGGAGGGAAGATACACTGTGAACCAAAAAGAGGATTCACGATCATAATTTTTAAAAAATAATAATTTAGAGAATAAAAAAGGGGTCCTACAAATAAAATAGAGTAGACATAAAACTCTTAGAATTGAAAGATAAAGGGAAACTCTCCCAGAACAAAGAGCTAAAAGTGATGAGAAATAAGAGGTAAGGACTTCAGAGGGTGGAGGTGGGTCCAGAGGCTCAACATCCAAATTCCAGGGAGTTCCAAAAAGAGAGAGCACAGAAAACCGACGGGAGATAACCATCTATGAAAGTTTCAGAAAATTTTCTGGAACCAAAAGGTGGGAGTTTCCGAACTGCATGGCTCTACGGGCAGCCACCGAAAGGGGATGAAAACAGACCCATGCTAAAGTGACTCACTGCCAAATGTCAGAATAGTGGGGGCAAAAGGGAAGATCCTACATGCCGCTCTCCTTAACAAATGTTACAGAACTATTTAACCCTCTGTTTAGCCATCCTCTGTTACAGTTCAACAAATGTTTCCCAAGTGTCTACTTTGTTTAAAGAACCGGAGATTCAAGGTTCTCGACCCATCTTTCAAAAAACACCAAGGCCCCCAACTAAATCAGAAGTTCTGGGGCTGGTGGCCAGTCACTGGCAGTTTTAGAAGCTCCCTAGCTGATTCTACTGTGTGGGCAGGGTGAGGATCACAGGGCTAGATCCAGCTGGGTCAGAGGTCGGGAAGTTGCCAGGTGACAGGAGACTTAACTACTACTAGTCCCTATACTTAAGTTTTGTTGTTGTTGTTTTTTTTAAAGATTTCATTTATTTGTTCATGAGAGACACACAGAGAGAGGCAGAGACACAGGCAGAGGGAGAAGCAGGCTCCCAGTCAGACCCTGATGCGGGATGCGATCCCAGGATTCCAGGATCATGACTTGAGCTAAAGGCAGATGCTCAACCACTGAGCCACTCAGGTGTCCCCCTCTACTTAAGCTTACAATTAGGTGAGGGGTATTTAACTGGTAACTACAACCCGACCCAGCAGAGCAAATTCAGTAAGGGAGGGCTCAGAAGGAAGGGATTTTTGCCTAGGGCTTGCACTGTCCGATACGGTCCCAGTTAAATTATTAAAATAAAAAATTCAGTTCCTCGGTCACACTCACCACAGGTCAAGTGCTCAAATCACAAGGGGCTAGTGACCACAGAGGTCTACTGGCCAGCACTGGGCTAGAGGCACCAAGAAGGAGAAGACATTTACAGCTAGATGGGTGAGCGAGAAAGCTGTCCCGGGCAGACCTGGGCAAAAGCAGTCAAGATGAAGAACGTTCACGAATCTCAAAGTGGACCAAATCTGGCTAGTTTGAACCCCGGGCATTAGAGCCTTGAACCAATGACTCCAAACAAGAACAGTGTTCTGCAATCAAGCTCCCTGGGTTCAAATCCCAGCTCTGTCACTAAACAGGACCTGGGCAAATTATTTCTAGGACTTGGGTCTCTTCACCTGCCCGATGGGGATACCACTCCCTACACCTTGGGGGCTTGTTGTAAGAACTAAATGCAGTAACACGCATAGAAAGGCCTTATTCTAACGCCCATCACATAGAAGCTGCACAATAAATGAAAGCTGTCATCATCATCATCATCATCATCATCACTCCAACACCTGTTCAAGGAAGCTGCGAAAGTGTAATTACCCGTGTGGCTCCTCTGGTGGATTGCCAAAAAGTGATTATACTTAAACACTTTGCCACAGTCCTTACAGCAGGCCTCGGGGCCACCGGGGCGCTTTCTCCTTCCACAGACCCTTTTGGCTGAACCCTGCTCGTCTTCATCCCCGACAAGTTTGTAATCTTTAAGTTTGACGGACCTCCTGATCCTCCGCTTGCTGTACCGACTCTGGCTATCCTGCCCATCCTGGGTCTTGGGGTCACAGTTCTCATCTTTCTCAGCAGGCATTTCCTCCCCTCTACCTGGCTCACGGGCCGGCTCAGAATCCTCCATTTCTTTTGCTGGAATCTGGTCATTCAGGAAGCCACTCTCTCCCTCTTTGACCACAAAGTTATGCCTATTTTGAACGGAGTTGTTTACCCTCAGCTGTATTTCTTCTTCTGCAGCCAGCTGTGATTTCCCCTCCTGCAAACTGTTGACTTTTCTCGGTCTTCCCCGTTTCCGTTTTGGGGGGTCGTTCTTCTTATTAGAAATAACCACCACTGGAGTGCTGCCGGTGTTCAGAGTCGATGGCTTCGGGGAGCTATGATTATTCTGGAAATCTGTGTAAGCCTTTACCAGGTCATAGACTTTTAAGAACTGAGCGGTGGCCAGGATTTGTTCTGTACTTTTCTCACTGGCCTGGAGACAACCCGTGTAGATAAACTCCAGCAGGACACCGAAGGTGTCGGCAACCATGCCTTCCAGCATATATATGGACTGGCCGATCTCCCCCTCCTCGGCAAACATCATTGAGAAGTATTCGCTACTGGCAGCGAGTAAGGCTTTGTGAGCCCGGAAATGCACATTCTCCACGATCAAAGTGATGTCACAGAGAAAGCCTTTCTTCCGCTGATCCTCCAAACTGGCCAGAACAGTGTCACTGTGCGTGTCTGAGTGGACGACCAGCTGCCCAGAAGGCTCTGAGGATGTGTCTGCCATTTTCCTTAGAGGGCCAAGGAGCGTGAAGCCTGAAATAAGAAAGTGATGATCAAAAGAGGAGGAGGCATCATCTAAGGGGTTCATCCCGGTCCAGACGAACTACTACGCGTGTGACTCACTGTTAACCCAACTTTCCCATGTCACCACTTTCAGAAAGCGATGTAAAAAACGTAGCTGGGGACCCTCCCCCTTGCCGGACACCGGCACCTAGCTCGGCGAATTTCCAGCAGCCGCGTTCCTCCTCGGGGTCTGCGTCCTCCTCCTCCGGAAAACGAAGGAATGGGAACCGACCATCTCGAAAGTCCTTCCTCGGCACTAACTTTGCACCGCTGCACACACGTCAGGATGGGAAACTACGGGGTCTCGAGTTCACGCCCTGCTAACCATCTTGTCTGCGAAAACACAGAAAAAAGGGGCACAGGAAATGGACACGAGCGACGGGAATCCGGGGGGAGCTGCACTGGAGGAATGACCGCGGCGCAGCGGGCCTTGGCCTGCAAGGGTGGCACGACCCCACCCCCCACCCCGGGCTGGCGCCGGACGGACGGTTCCCCGGGAGCCCCCGGGCCCGCGGCGCGAGGAGCAGGAAGCAGGGGAGGCCCTGGGGCGGGACAGGACTCGATCGCGGGGCGGGGGGGGGAGCCCGCGGGGCGGACCTACCTCTCGGGGCGCCCAGCCCACCCGGCGGCCTGGCGGGCGCACCCCCGCACCTCCGCCGGGCCCGCCCTGGCGCCCCGCTCCGCGCCCGCCGCCGCCGGGGTCTCCGCGCCGCGGCCGCCGCCGCCAACCCGGAAGCGCCGGCGCCGGGAGCCTGCGCGCGGACGCCGGACCACGTGGCCGCGGACGCGGGGCGGGGCCTGGCGGACGCGGGGCGGGGCCTGGCGGACGCGGGGCGGGGCCTGGCGGACGCGGGGCGGGGCCCTGTCGCTGCGAGGGTGTCAGTTTTCTGTCCTATTAGGCGTAACACGTGTCAACCCGGATCGGTGTTGTCTCTTCCCAGTTGCGGAAGGTCGCGTGAAGGTCTCGGATGTGTGACGAATGAATGACATCATTTACACGCACTGCCATCATCGTCACTGTCATCATCTAATGCGAATGTAGTCATTATTACGGTTGGCCTCCTAATTATTTTACGTTCATTACCATCATCGTCACTGTCATCATCTAATGCGAATGTAGTCATTATTACGGTTGGCCTCCTAATTGTTTTTGCACGTCTGTCTTGTCCTTTCCCTTCCCACGCCCAATTTCCCGGGCCAAGGGCGTGAAGAGAGGCGCTCTCTCTAGTCCGACAGCTCTGGGGACTGAGTGAGCTTGGGCAGATTACTGGTCCTCTGAACCTTGTTTTACCTTACCTGTAAAATGGAGGTGTCAAGGCCAAGAGTCAGCCTGGTTGCGTAGCTGTGGGCAAACAAAGATTAGGTGGGTAATGAATTTAGTGTCTGGTTTAATTCATATCTACCATGATTAAAATGATCATTATTGTTAGTCAGACTTTCATCATCCTTCTTCTATAGACTATTAAGGGTTTCTAGCCAGTCTTAGCTGCAGGGCTGTTCTCTCCAATACACAGGAGTAGGGAGATCTTTCCAAATGCAGATCACATTTGAGAGTCTAGAGCCATTCCCCTGATTAAAATCCAATGTGCCCCCCTTTGCCCCCCCCACCCCATGTACCCTCCTAGTAAAGGCCAAGCTTCTTGAAATGGTCTACAAGCCCCAGCCAAATTCAGTCCTCTCCTACTTCTCTCTCCAACTATTTCAGCATTTCCACGCTCTCAGTTTATGATTCACCAACACCTAATAGCTTATACAGATCTTCCTCCACTTACAATGGGTGTGTGTGTGTGTGTGTGTGTGTTGTGTTACACCCATCGTAATTTGAAAATATCATGTTAAAAATATTGTAAGCCGTGTAACACACCTAACCTACTGAACATCATAGCTTAGCCTAGCCTGCCTCAAACATGCTCAGAACACTGGCCTTGGCCTGCAGTTGAGCAAAATCATCTAACACAAAGCCTATTTTGTAGTAAATGTCGCTTGTCTCCTGTAATTTTTTTTAAAGATTTTATTTATTCATGAGAGACACACACAGAGAGAGAGAGAGAGAGAGAGGAGAGAGAGAGAGAGAGAGAGAGAGAGAGAGGCAGAGGGAGAAACAGGCTCCATGCAGGGAGCCCCTTGTGGGACTCAATCCAGGGTCTCTAGGATCACACCCTGAGCCATAGGCAGGCAACAAACCGCTGAGCCACCCAGGGATCCCCTGTCTCCTGTAATTTACTGAATAGCGTGCTGAAAGTAAAAAACCAGAATGGCTGTATGAGTACAGAGTGGTTGTAAGTGTATTGGTTGTTCACCCTCATCATGATCACATGGCTGATTGGGGCTGCAGCTCACTGCCACTGACCAGCATCACGAGAGGGGATCCTACTGCATTGTCACTAGCCTGGCCAAAGATCAAAATTCAAAATTTGAAGTGCAGTTTCTACTGAATGCATATTGCTTTCTGCATCATTGTAAAATTGAAAAATTCTCAAGCCATCATTGTCAGGGACCATCTGTACTTTATCCCCCCCACCCCAATACACACTTCCAGAGCTCCAGCATGCCATCTATTAGGCTCCAAGATTTTGAAATTGAATATGTGATTACCAGCCTGGCTCTTTTTAAAATTTTACTAGTTTACTAGTTAAACCCCTTCTCAGAGGTTTTCCCTTTGTCTTGAATTGTCTCTAAACCCCAGCACTCGTGGGGGGCCAGGTGGAATGGGCTGCTCTACCTGACTTCTACAGCAGCAGAAAGAGAAGTCAATCTGAGGAGTCAGCTACCCCATGATTTGTCACTGCCACAGAACTGCAGGAAAAACATTGCTCCTATGCAGGTCCTCAATCCAACAGCTCAAGATGACTCAGGGCCCAGTTAAGCCAGGCACTCCCACTCCCCGTTTCCATCACTGCTCACTACACCCCAAGCTCTGTGACAGGAGGGGGCTCTGGGGGATCTTCCAGCATCTGCCACTCACCCCCAAAGACTAGTCCTTTCTTCAAGGCAATTTTGTTTAGGATTCATATTGACTTTTCTTGAAATATTTGTTCTTGTTCTCTTTGGTTACAGCCAGCCAGCTGTTCTACCTTCAACAGATCTTCATAACCTTAAATCTTGCAGAACAGGTTTTGGGGTGCCAATTATTCATCCAACAAATATTTATTCAGTGCCTAACAAGTACCAGGCTCTATGTCAGGTGCTGGGGATACAGCAACTAACAAGGCCCTTGCCCTCGTGAGGCTTACATATCTACTAAGAGGAGAAAGGACAAAAACACCAGTAAACAAATAATGTAATTTCAGAAACTGTTAAGCTTTATAAGGACTGAGGATGGAGATTGGCAGGGAAAGGGAAAGTGAAGTTAGTAGGGTGACACTGAGCTGAGATCTCAATGATACAGAGCCAGCTATCTGAAGATCTGGAATTAAGAATGCTCCAGGTAAGGGAAAAGCAAGCAGAAAGGCTCTGAGACTGGAAATGAGCTTGCTACTTTTGGCGGACAGAAAATCCTGTGGCTGGGAGCCCTGTCAATGAGCGGGGAGGATGACTGGAAGCAAGGTTGCCAGATTTTGCAAATAAAAGCATAGGCCATCCAGCAAAACTTGAATTTCAGATAAACAATGAATAATATAGCATGGGACACTCATGCTAAAAAAATGCATGTGATCATCTGAAATTAAAATTTAATTGAGCATCCTGTGTTTTATCTAACTATCTGCAATGGAAAGGATGCCTGATTCTGACAATACAGGAAGTGAAATTATGAAAGCCTTTTATGAAAATTATGAAAAACAATTCCACTGCAGGATAGCTAGAAACGACAGCAGAAAATGCATAACAGAGCTTAAAGGAAAGTAAGGGACCAAAAAAGTAGAGGGATTTGAAATCAGAGTAATAAGCTACGCTTGGAGCCATGGAAACCCTAAGCCATGGTGTTTTGTGAAACCAGAAGCTCGTGGTTTAAGTTTTAATGGGTAAACTGGAACCAGAAGACAACACCTCCCTTGATGGGTATGAGGTAGGGAGTCAGAACAGAGATCCTCCTGCAGAAACCAGGCCCTTCTGAAGGGCTACAATCTCCATGAAAAGGTGGGCTGGGGGCAAAAAAATCTGCCTTCTGGCAAAGGGAGATAGCAAGAGAAAATATCTTTCCTGGCCTTGGCTCCCATTGAGGAGGAAAAGACTCCTCTAAAAATTTGTAACCATTCAGAATTTTAAAAAGAATGACTACTCGGATAGTCCTTCCAGAAGTTAAAATGTAATCAATGAAATTTAAAAAAAATTTCAATGGATAATAGTTCAATAATACTTAATACATTACTACACACAAAACCCCACGAACAGACTAAATGGTTCATCTACCTAGAAGGTAAATCTGAAAATATTGCCAGAAAGCTAGTCTGAAGAGATTGAAAGCATGGTAGAGAGGTCAAGAGACACAAAGAACAGAGTAAGAGTGATTTGTCATATAATCGACCTGGGATTTCAGTTAGAAAGATTAATGAGAATGAGAGAGAAACAATATTTAAAGATGCTGGTGAGAATTTTCCCAAATTGGTGCAAAACACAAATCTCCAGATTTGGGAAACATAATAAATTCCAAGAAGGCTAAACAAATGAAAACTTGCAACTAGATACATTGTGGTCAAAGTGGAGATCATCAAAGGTAAAGAGATCTTTTTAAAAGACTGTAGAAAGAAAATATTAATTACCTATAAAAGAAACCCGGTCAACCTGACAGCTGACTTTTCCACAGCAACAGTGGAGGCAAGAAGTCTTCAGTAGGCTGATATTTTCAATATTCACCTATTATTTCCCCTTTAATATAGACTTTATTTTTTAGAACAGTTTTAGGTTCAGCAGCATTTGCCAGGTCTTCAGACAAAAAGTAATGTAATGACAGTAAGTAAAATGTGGAGAACAGGGAAAGGATTTTGTACTTCTTGTTTTCAATGGCTACATTCAGATCCACCAAGTAAATATAGTGTATTTGACCATTCCTGTGGCTGGACTGCGTGCTGTTATATATTATGTTAAGAACTGCTGTGCTGAAACCTTTTTCCTCATATTTGGGATTATTAGCCTGCTACAAATTCTAGGAAACGGAAGTATGAGGTGAAAGGAGATGAATTTTTTTAAAAGAAGAAGATAACACCAAATGATGGCCAAGGAGTAATAAAACGGGTGGTGTTGGACACCCCGGAAGCACCACGAGTGGCTGAATTATCTAGACAGTCTTCGCAGAGCAGAAGTCTTTCATTTGAATGAGGTCCAGTTTATCAATCATTTCTTTCACGGATCACGATTGGTATTGGATCTAAAAAGTCATTGCCATACTCAAGGTCTTCTGAGTTTTTTCCCATGTTATCTTCTAGGGATTTTATAGTTTTCCATTTTCCATTTTGATCTGTGATCCATTTTGAGGTGACTTTATGAAGGGTATAAAAATGTGTCAAGATTCATTTTTTTGCCATGTGGATGTCCAGTTGTTCCAGCACCATTTTTTGTTGAAAAGACCATCTTTGCTCTATTGGATTGCCTTTGCTCCTTGGTCAAAGATCATTTGGCTGTATATAATTACGTGGGCTCTCTTTTCTAGCCAAGTAATGATATACAGTAGGCAGATGTAGACAAGGATCTGGAGTTTAGAGGTGAGGACAGAATTTGAGATATTATTAATTGGATTTATCAGAGTATAGGTTACAAATTACTAAAGGATCACTTACAG